AGGTTTTATTGCAGTGTTGGCGCTTTGCGATAACTAAATGAGTTTGGGGTTGCAGTTTGGGCACTTGGTCTCTAAAAGGTTCACCATCACTGGGTTAGGGTTAGAAAAACAAGGTGTCCTGGTATAATAGCGATGGTTGTAATGTGTTTCGAATGGGCAGAAATGTTGAGCTGTGCAGAAAAAGCTACTCAAGGAAGGCTTCTTCAAAATCACAGTATTTTCAACTGAACTTTAGCCCTATATTAGGGTTGGGGTATGCACCAGGGTAGGGTTAGGGTTAGGAAAACGAGAATTCCTGGCATGATTTTGATGGTTGTAATGTGTTTCGAATGGTCAGAAATGATGAGTTGTGCAGAAAAAGCTATTCAAGGAAGGCTTTTTCAAAATCACACTCTTTTCTATGGAACTTTAGCCCTATATTATGGTTAGGGGGGTGCACCAGGGTAGGGTTGGTGTTGCAAAAATGAGGTGTCCTGGTATAATTTTGATGGTTGGAATGTGTTTCAAATGGGCAGAAATGTTGAGCTGTGCAGAAAAAGCTACTCAAGGAAGGCTTCTTCAAAATCACAGTATTTTCAACTGAACTTTAGCCCTATATTAGGGTTGGGGTATGCACCAGGGTAGGGTTAGGTTTGCAAAAACAAGGTGTCCTGGTATAATTTTGATGGTTGGAATGTGTTTAGAAAGGGCAGAAATGGTGAGAGTGCAAAAAATAGCTTGTCAAGGAAGCCTTTTTAAAAATACCTCTCTTTTCAATGGGACTTTAGCCCTATATTAGGGTTAGGGGAGTGCTCCAGGGTAGGGTTGGGATTACAAAAATGAGGTGTCCTGGCATGATTTTGATGGTTGTAATGTTTTTAGAAGGGGCAGAAATGATGAGTTGTGCAGAAAAAAGTACTCAGGGAAGGCTTGTTCAAGATCTCCCTCTTTTCAATGGAACTTTAGCCCTGTATTAGGGTTAGGGGAGTGGCCCAGGGTAGGGTTAGGGCAGTTGTGGTGAACCTATGGCATGCGTACCACAGCGGGCACGCAGAGCCCTCTCTTTTGGCATTCAAGGCAAGTCACCCCAGCATCTCTTTAGCAGCTGAGCATCAGATAACAGCACAGATAGGGGCCATGCGCATGCTGAGAAAGGAGTAGCGGCGCCAGGCAATGACATCATGAGCCATGACTCATTATCTGCGACTTACCCAACCTTTCACATAGCCGGTCAGTGCGCTTCCAAGGATATATATATATATATATATTCGCTTGGATTACTTTTGAGGCATTTTTCCTAAACTAAAACCTCAGTTTTCAGGTTTTATTGTAGTGTTGGCACTTTTGGGTTGCAGTTTGGGCACTCGGTCTCTGAAAGGTTCACCATCACTGCTCTAGAAGATGGCCTGCTTGTTGGAGCCACACTATATTTTAAGAATATAATGTTTTTTGTCATCTCCTGCTCCATTCAGAATTTAAGTTAACTAGCTGCACACCATCTACTATTTGTTTATTTTGCTCCAGGGCAAGCCCACAGCAATAAATATAGTGTAAAATAATATTTCTTTCCATTGTTATGTTGTTTATGATGGCTGCCACACCCAAAACCACTGGGGAGGAAATCTAAACAAGTTCTTGCCTCATCCCTTCCCTGCTCTCTCTCTGTCATCATACTCAATTTATCAATTCACAGTCAGGCAAGACAAAGCTAGTTTTGTCTGACTAGACAAAGTTTGTCTGACTAGACCTTTCCCCCTTTGTAGGGTTAAATGAGGGGTGGACATTGGAAGTAACTCCTGGATTTGAGTGAAATCTATTTTTTTGGAGAGGAGAATTTTAACTCCTTAAGCTGATATATCACCTGCATCCTTATCCAAACAGAGATAGCTTAAGCTCTTTCTCCCATGCTCTGGTAGCATTGCATCTGGATTACTGTAATATGTGAATCTGCCTTTGAAAATGATCTGCAATTTTCAGCTGGTCCAAACCAGAGCATCAAGGCTGGTCAATACAATCATATTATGCCAGTACTTTCCCTTCTGGGCTGGCGGCCAGTTCATTTCCAGGCCTGATTTAAAGCACCTGTGTTAAATATTCAGTTTGGGTCCAGATTACCTGTCCAGGCCCTAGGACTCTCTGCTGCAGGCCCTTCTGGGGAACCCTTAAAAAAGGAGTGAAGTGGGTGGCTACTAAGAAGTGGCACTCCAATTCCATAATGAACTTTGAGAGAGGTTTACCTGGTGCCTAAATTGTGCATTTTCTGGTGCCTGGTAAGAATAGTTTCTTATTTTGATCTTTCAGTTTCTGTTTTAAATCTGTTGCTTTATTTCAACTCTTGCATTGGTACAGATTGTATTTTTTTACTGTAGTATTAAACTTTTAAACTTTCATGTAGTATCTTATGGTTTTAATTCCTGTGAACCACCCAAAGAGGTTTGGCCAGTGGGTGGTATAGAAATGTGATATATAAATTTTTTAAAATACAGTTCAAGTTTTTTTCTTTAAAGAATTTTTGCCACCACATCAAAGTGTTCCAGTCAGTTTTGCCAGTATAAAATATGAGCAAATCAATGGCACAAAGTAAAACATATTGGAAAAATAAATCCTAATCACAAATACACTGATGGGGCTAAATTTGCTGTGAGTATCCAGACAAAAGAAACTGGCTACAAGATACCTGGAAAATACCAAATGATTATGGTGAGGCAACACAAATCACAAATTCAGTGTTACAATGTGGAGAAAAGCATAATGTTGATTATATTGTTCTAACATAAGCACAATACTAATAGCATTTGTGGGCATCATGTTTTCTCAGGGGAATTCTATCATGCCAGCAAACACTACTGGTGTTATACTAGAAGTCACCTATACTAGTGCAATATAAGTTATTTTTCCTGTTAATCACATTACCAGTGTTTTATCAGTGCCCCACTGTGGCAACCATTTTAAGCATGATCAAGCCCCACCTATGGCAGCCATGTGAACTCCATGACATGGTCTAAAAACTCCCAAATACAGTTTAGGGACCATGTTCTCTCTCTCTCTCTCTCTCTCTCTCTCTCTCTCTCTCTCTCTCTCTGTATGTCCCAAAGATGCCTTACCCATCTCCCAATGTCTTCTCCCTTTCTTCTTTCACATTTAACTTGCACCCTATACGTCACTGCCATTTATTTTCATCCTGACCTCTTGCTGCCTTTAGATTCACATCCTAATACAACAACTTTCCTTGCTTTCTCCCTTCCTCTTAGTCCCAGTTTTATAAATATGTAGTCCTGATCTGACTGACCAGCTACTGCCATATCTTTCTATTCAGTGCATGGTGTAGCCATGGGACAGGGTGGTTGAACAACAAGGCACTGGTACTGCACAGTCTATAGTGCCAAGACCCACCTAAAAGCTGAGTGAGACCTGCTGGTGGGACCCAAGCTGCATGGTAAGCAGCACCCTTTAAGCTTTTGGCATTATTCTGTTTCATGGTTCAGATTTAATAGAAGGGAAATGTCTGATCACTAGAAGCCACTGTGATGGTTAAATGAAAGAAGCTAATTACCAGGCTTTCTTGCAGGAAGGAAAACTGAGGGGGCCCTGGAAGTAAGGGTCACAAGGATAAAACATAAGGATGTGCATTCCTAAATTCCAGTGGCATCTTTGTTTAGTCACTTCCAGCTGTCTATGATTAACCCTTTCATGCACAAATCTACTTCTCTGCTTGCTTGGTTTGGCTGAATTGCTTGGTTACCCTCAATTATACCAGACTCTTATACTACGAATTATAACTGGATCACAGATCTTTCAAAATGTTGCTAAAAGGCAGATGTCCAGTGGAACTATATACTTTTTCTTTTCTATTGGGACAAATAGCAGTTTAGGACATTAAGCTTATTTGGAAGATTGTCATCAGGAAAGCAAAAGAAGGGGATGGCAGAGAACGAGGTGGCTAGATGGAGTCACTGAAGCAGTCAGTGTGAGCTTAAGTGGACTGCAGGGGATGGTGGAGGACAGGAAGGCCTGGAGAAATGTTGTCCATGGGATCATGATGGGTCAGATGCGACTTCACAACTAACAACAACAACATCAGGAAAAGGAATATCCCCCCTCCCCTCCCCTCCCCTCCCAACTAGTGCTTTACTCCTCACACAAAACACCCTTCACAGATTTCATTTCTTTTTCATCCAAACTGTAGAGACATAAGATCTCCATTGTCTTATCTAGTTTTAGCCTTACCTGGACTTACCCAACTTGTTGAATTTGGAAACTCTCTATTCAATGTATATTTGTTCAGAACAATATAAAACCCCTTCTTAAGAACTCTAAACTATGTTACATAGGGAAGTTAAAAAACTGTATCTTAGTTAATTATATTTGAACATTTGGAAGGAATTAATACAGTTTCTTGTTCATTTGGAAAAAAAATCTTAAATGAAATAACATTGGTTGTGAACATGCTGGGTTTTCTCCTGAAAGGCTGGTGATAAGAGGAGTATTTAATAGCCTTTAATCTGTGATTAAAACAAAGCTTGGGCTTGTGTTGTATAATGCTGAAAAGTTTATGCTGGGAATGTAGAAATCAAGGATGCTCTTTTACCACTTAAATGTTAAATTCTTCTCCTGTGGCCATGTTTGTTTATATGTTTTCCATTTCCATGTTTGTTTTTCAAGAATCAGAACCTGCATTTTTCCTGTTTTTGTGATGGTTATGAATTTTGTCTTTCTTTGGGTACATTTTGGTATTTTATTTTTAAATATATGGTGAACATTTGATTTTTATAACATGCAGTTCAGAAAACACCAACCTTTTTTAATGTATATAGAAAGATCATTAGCAGAACCCCTAATTCCAGCCCATTATCCATATGATGGGCTGCGAACTTACTATGTTACTCATGTTTACTCGTCCCATTGATATTAAAGAGTTTAATGGTGATTTGACTTCTTCTGGATCCAGCTCAGTATGTATTAATTTTCAAAAAAATGCTGATATTTGCATAGTGAAACCTATATAACACACACCCAGATTCTGGAGTTTGCCAGTACTGTTTAATATAAAAACATACATACATTGAGCATATTGTACTTTGGACAATTAAGAGGCTTCCAAACTTGTACTTAATTTTGCATCTGAAAAGATACACAGTTAAATTTGAAGATAGTGATCCCAGAAATGTACAGTCATCTTTTGATATGCTTACTACTAATTAAAGCCAGTTATAGAGATGTATATAAAATGCATTTGGATGACTTTTTAAAAAGACAATTTCTAAACATGTTTTTCTAGTTGTGGTCAGCTGATGTTCCCTTGCTCCCAAATGTAATTCTAGATATCCTAAACAGTAAACCTTCATATCCCTCTACACTGTATTTGACAACATTGTTAAAACCCAAATGTACTTGAAAGTGTAGACGAATATGCATTGCAGTTTTTAAAAATATTGAATTAATGTAGTACGTTTGTTGTATTAAGAGCAGTGCTAACTCCTGTTCATTTACAGATGCCTGTTCCTTCCTAGGTCACAATCCATTAAGTGTTTTCTTACAGATACTAAAATGAATGGGAATAATTTGGGAATATTGCCTGCTGAAATATGACCAACAAAGGTGATCATCTGAACAAGGAGAGGTGAATTTCTCCTCTAGAAATTAGACATTGAATTCCAGAAATGGTAGCATCCAGGAATACAATAGTGATGTATATTGTGTGCATCAATGTTTTCCTAATCCATGATAGAATAATCTGGGAAGACGTATTTGGAAAAGAAAATGTTTATATATTAAGAGGGTTTGTTGACCAAAACACTACCAAAAGCAACATTTTTTCTATTGCTTATGCTATATGTAAGGTACATTAATACCTACACTTAGGCTTTAAACATGTAGAAGTATTTAGACTGATGGATTTTGATTAAGGTTTCAACTGATCCTTTTCACTGAAAGTTTTATTCAATTATATTCTTATGGCCAAGAATTATATTGAAAGTTTCATCTACTTTCACTCCAAGTACTTTCCTTGTGTTGATGTAAAGAACATTATTTATATAATTTCTAGTTATGAATAGCTTGACAAATATTTACCCCAAATTACATGCACAGTGGATCAGTTAAATCTATTGCGCTCAGCTAATTGAGAGATACCACAGGCATATACCACATGCTGGCAATGCAAGTAAAACAAGTAAATTCAGAAATTTTGTCTTGAAATGATCCATATGGTCTTTTACATACATAATGATATCCACTCTGCAGATAAGTCTCCAGTATTTTGGCTTTAATAGTTAGCAACATTTTTATCAGGCAACAGGTATTTATAACGGAAACACATCTGTGCATCTATTTGTAATTTCCAAGTTGTATTACAGATCGTTCATAGATACATCGGAAAGAGGATGGCTGGATTTCCCAGTACTGCACAGGATTACTAAACAGGCTTACTCCTGAGTAAGAAGCCTTTTTGGTGTTGTATCCAGGAGGACAGAAATCGTTGGGCCCAACAGCAGCAATGTTGTTGTTGTGAAGGTAGACAACCTGAAAGTTACAAAGATTGTAGTGGTGAGACAATCAAGTTCTCGTGTTGAAGTAAATTAGCCAGGAAGTAGAGGTACAGCTAATTAGTACATTGATTTCCACATATTTGAGCTAAGACATATTCAAACTGTTCTTCCTCTCACTGCAACCAGAGTCATTAATATACTTTTCCCACAGGGAATCAGCCACCTCAACAAAAAACATAATTTCCTGTTTTATGATGTCCTCTCCTGTCACTTCAGTATATTTATAGTAATTTCTCTGAAGCTACAGGAAAACCAAGAAACAGGACTTGCTTTCATTTTCCATTAACTTCCTGAATCAAGTACTTTATAGATTTCCCAAGTATGCATATTCCCTGTCAAGTATCTTTTATCTGGGTAGTTTAAACACTGAAGAAATGGAGTGTACATTGCTCTTCATATACGGAGGAAAAATTCTGAAAAGTGAGAGTCTCATTTATGAAAAATCAGCAAAATTGTGTAGCAAATCAGGATATATGAAGGGTGATTGACATGCATGCAGAGGAGGAGAAATGTAGTCTGTTCCCTGCTTTTCATGCATGCAGCCCTTGTAGATAAGCAATCCATAGATTATTTGCATGGCTAGGCATTCAACCCAATCACTTCACTAGCATCAATGCTTTCTGCTAAACATATGGAGCATTTGCTGACAGCAAGAATAATGGGGGCAGTGCGTTTTCCTGTGGTGTTCTTCATGGGTTCAAGCAAAAGCCTGTAGAGATTATTTTTACAACACAAACTAAAATACTCTGTAATACACATATAACAATATCAATATGTAAGCATTGTCTGTTTAAGATCATAAAAAGAAACAATTTTGTAAGTGTAATTAATCTTGTAATTACAAGACTATACTGTATCTAGAATTTATTTATTACATTTATAATTTCTTTATTAAATGATGGAAGTCAAGGCAGTGTATGCTGGGTTCCTAGGGAATCTTCTATCCAGCTACTTAACTTCAGCAAGGCCGTTTTTCAACTGTGCTCAGACTATCGCTTTCGATACCATATATGCCATTATTTAATATAATTAAAAGGGAAATTATTCAATATGAAGTATGCATTTCCCGTTAGTTACTGAATTCAGTTTATTATTTATTGAACATTCAATTTATTGTTACATTCCTAAAATCTTTGTCAAGCTAGATGCATTTTACAGTAGTGGTTATTGTCCAGGAGTTAAACAACACATCTAATTATTGTATAGCTGAGTCCTATGGCGTGCATTACCTGTATGTACTTGTGTTCTCCCAGTCCAGGAGGTACTTTGGAAAGTTCATTGCTATTTAAATGAAGTTCTCTCAAATGTGGCACATTGGCTAAGGAGCCATTATCCACACTAACAATGTTATTGTCACTGAGACCAAGCCTAGAAGGAAAATATACATATATATTATGCAGGCTGTAGTGAAATAACTGTTCTCACAGGTAACAGTTTATTCCTGTATTTTCATTTTTAACACCTTGTAATTGAATCCTTTGTTTGTTTTCTTGATTAGCTGATTGTAATCAGAAATTATCTGATTTGCATGAACTCTCTGTACAGTATGTATTCTGTGGTCATATCACAAGATGCAAGACCCAAAAACACATATTTTAATCCTAGTTCATTCCACAATAGCCCTTCTATATGCCTAGATTTGGCCTATGTAGATTTGTTTTGGAACTGATTTCCGATAATATATTACCGGCAACTAATGAAATCGGATTGTGTCAGAATGAAAGATGCCTGATAACGTGTGAAAGGCAAATGGAATGGATTGAACAAAATCTGTCCATCCCTAACTGCAGGTATATGAATCTGCATGCTGTACATAATGCCAGTATCACCCAACTAGCCTGGGTAGCTTTAAAAACAAAAAGCCACTCAGCAGCTCTGTTCCCAACCATATCAGCGATCCAGACATTATCAGGGACTGCTGCCATACTCTTTTGTTGGTGCTTCAGGAGCTTGTGGCCAGCAGCTGTGCCCCTGACTCTGATTGTCTCAGCAAGTGTGTTGGAACTTCCAAATCAATAATCAAGGTGGCCAGAGCTTAATTATTTCATATCTATGTAGTATAGCTTTTCCGTTTCCTGGCTGCCTAAAGTGGCACCCAAAAAAGTGACCAAGCAAGAATAATAAAAATTCCCACAAAGAATTGATTAAAAATAAATTCTAAAAAGAAAACTGAGGAATACTTTTTAATGGCCAAACATCACTCAGAACATTAAAAATAAACATGGAACTGCCTAGTAAGAATGTTAGCATGTGCATTTTTTTAAGACTACCAATAGCATCCTAAAAGACTTTTTTCCTTCTACAGGTTAATATGACCTTCTGATATTTTCAGTGATGCCGCAATAATGAGTTATGCACAAGGCAATTATACCAAATTTGGAAGTGCTATTTGAACTTGGCATATCTCCATATGCACATTTTTCAAGGTAGAATTCAAGGTCGAGGAATAGAACTGTCCAAATTTCAAAGGACTCATTGCCACATCATTCTTAGCGTTCTAAAATAGGACTCATTCCTAACAAAATAGTTTCCTGTTAAACACCAGTATTTTTATTATGTGTCCTATTTTCTTGGCTGCACTACACAAAGCAAGATTTGCCTTAGACACTGAAAGAAAATAAGAGATGATTGCAAGGAAGAAAAGACTATTGAAAGACCACTATAGGAACACTATAGGAACAAAGAGATAATTTGCTATCGTCATGCAATAGTGGCTCATCTTGCTTTTGGCAACATATGGCTGTTATAGTTTGGATGCCACATTATTTTTAAAATTAGACTTTAGCACCAGATGAGATTTTCAGATATCTGTACATCTTGCTGCAGCTAGAGGGACCTGTTCATCCAGAGTATTAATATAAAGAAAGGGTGTGGAGGGCTGCTCTGTGTAGATAGGCATAAAATAATATACCTATTTGTGGAAATTTAGAGAACCCAGTAAGGGAAAATAAATTTATCTGAACTAATTCTGTACAGCCTTGTTTTTGTGTTGGAATCCATACAATACCAGAACATATATACCCCAGTATCAACATAGACTGTGGCTGGAAACATGTAGAGTAATCTAAATTAATACTTAAAACAATAGATTAATCCTGTGGAATTAGCCCATTTTGTAAAGGGCTATTAATCATAAAAGATAAATGCTTCAAAGCCAGAAAACCAGTGAATGTGGTTCAAGAAATTTCTGCTGTCTTTGGCAAGTTTGGTATGGTTGCAAGTTTAGTATGGTCTATACTATTATTTTTCTTGCCAAAAAGTTAGGAACAATCCCTCTCCAAAGACCCCAAAACATGTTACAGAATGAGTTGTGCCTACTAAGGAATCTGTGAGCTACCTATTTTACTTAATACCAGAAACGCATATTAGACTATGATTACTTAGCCAAATTGGGGAGTCCGCTAAGACTATCTGCATCAACTTTGTTGATTTTGTTGCCGTCAAGATGAAGTTCTGTCAGGGATGTGGGAAGACCTACAATAAAAGATGACCCAGACATTTCTTTTAATCAAACAGAACAGTTGCTCCTTCTGTTTACCATTGGTAAAATTCTTGGGGCTAGCGGTTCTTGGCTTAACCTATGGCACAACCAACAACTATTATCTTTACCCTTCTTATAGTCTGCACTTCTCAGAAGTTACCTTTGTTCTTGTACCACTCAGCAGCAACTTGATATATCAGCCCTGGTCTAATCTGCACCTTTCTCATGAGTAAAGAGTACCTTTTAGTTCCTTTCCTAGCCTTCTCACAACAAAATCATGTGCAAAGAACTTTCAACTGGAACTCAATGGCCTTCCCCATTGTAAACATAGTGCTACTAAGAATTATATTAAGGGAGAAATCTTATAGCTGCCTACATGGGAATAAGCCCTCTGGGGAACTTACTTCGATTAGTCATGTATAAGATTACATGGTGTACCTTAACTATTATATATAGGATGGTTCCTGTAGGCCTGTGCAACAGTTAAGAAATAATTTGTAACAGTGTATATGAAGTTGGCTTATCTTATTGGTCAGTCTAAACCAGCATTTTTTCTTTCTACTGGTAGAAGGTTTCCAAGGTTTCACATGAACAAAAGGATGTGAGGCTAAAAGCCCCCTAAAAGCCCCCTTCCACTATTGTTCCTTAGCAACAGTTATTCAGACACATGCTTTCTTTGATCATGGAAGTGTATCAGAACCAAGACATATCTTCCATGACTATATCAGAGCTTGTGGTCTTAATTTGCACCCTGCTTCTTCCCTTTTAACTGGAAATGCTGAGGACTGAGCTCGGAACCTTTTCTATTTCCTCTTTGATTGAGCCCTGACTCATGTGGTCTATGCCTCATAGTGATAAATAACAATGTACAATTTTGTAAGGAACCCTGAAAACCAAATTGTGTTTTTTAATATCACCCTTGCATGCCAGACTTAGAATGAAATATGCACATTATGAATGACCAAATTGCGATGGGTAAGACTGAGGGCGACTATACTGTGAGAATCCATGCGCACACAGCCTTCCTGCTGCATATGCTCCTCCTGTGATTTCCCGGTTAGTGGGAGCTGGACAATGCCATTGCAAGTGACTTTTGCCATATCTGTTACACCTCAAGCGAGTTTTTGACAGGGTTCCATGAGGACTGGGTTGAGTTTTGAAGGGACATATGCAGCCATAAATACATATCTCCCTTTGAAAACAAAATATGTGTGGATTCCTGTTTAAATAGAACAAAACCATCCCATTTTAAAGAAGCTGGAGTTCAACAGTGAACTGTCAAAACTGACAGCTTCCATAAAAAGAGAATGACTCAGAGTTTTCCGTATCCCCATGTACCTAGAATCTCAGAAAAGGGTGGAAAAGTAAGAAGACTCTCAGGGCAGCCAGATCAAACTTTACCTTGAAGATCTTGCCATGAAAGGAGGGACTGACCACTCCTTTCTCATGAGCAAAGATCACTTGTGGTTTTGGTGTCTCTTGACAGCTTGACTTGTGGCAGCTATTCAGAAGAATCATAGGAAAATAAATAAATGTCTCGGTAGCCACTCAGGCAGTGCTTGTGTAGGGTTTCTGCTGCACTTTGACAGCAAACACACAACTGGACATTGCCCAGGCAAACCGTGCCACTTTAACCTGCAAAAATGCTCACTTTGACAAGTCTGATTTAAAAAATAGAATAAAATAAAACTTTGATCATGGAGGTGGGTTATAGTCACCATGAAAAACATGAAAATGACACTTTTCATTCCAAATGGAGTTGTCATCTACAATGTGTTCTTGTATCATACAAAGCCAGTCATTATATTAGTATTCACTGCTTCCTTACAGGAAAGTCTAGCTCCATAACTGTGAATGGTAAATGTACATTTGATATCACATAGGTATTTTCCATATAAACTTGAATGCAGTTGTTTCCACATTCTAAAAATAAAGTGAGAATTCTATATACAAAGACTGCCACGTATGAAGATAATCTACACTCAGTATTCTCTCCTTCTGTTATTATTTAAAACTTACTAGATTGTATAAGAGTGTGAGAATGATATTGTATGATGTGTTAGATAATTTAAAATCTCATATATACATAGACATAAACATATGAACGTTTATGAGAATACTTTAGCAACATTGCAGATAGTCTTCTAAGCAATGTCCTTACCTTTAGGGATGCTAGTTATATTGGTATCTGAAATACGGATGTAGGAGAGTCTCTTCATCCCCTGAAAGGCTCCATTTTCTATACCTGAGCTTTTTAATGGGTTGGTGCCAAGTTCTACACACAAAGAAAAATTAGTATTGTGGTAATTCTGGAAAGATTCTTTCGCATGAATCATGTAACAGGCCATGTATAGAAGTCCACGGGAATTTTATTTTGCTTAAGTCTATTCCTTTTTTTGAAGCATGTTGTGAAATGTCATTCCATTAACAATATGCTTTTCAAAATATGCCTTTAACAGCATATTTGAGAAGTGAAGTGAATTCTGGGGACTTTACTTACTGCAACTCTCCCTCTGATTTCTTCACATTTTAACGCACCCCACATTATACCTCATCAGTGTTATCAGCAAAAAAGGGGGCGTGGTTATCTGATCAACAGTTGCAAAACCATGCAGGGGCTCATCAGTTTAAATAACACTTCACTGACCTATGCATGAACCAAAGTACAGATGCGCACAATTATATTTCCTTGCCTTTTCTTGCTGATACACCCAGAGCTGCATCATCTCTTGATGTAAATCTCAACAATCCAGTTAGGAAGCTATTCCATACTCTGGATTCCCAAGACATTTTACATTTTACCATCTTTTGTCTAACAAGCTGTTATCACAAAACTGATTTGTGGGCAATGATACATACCAACAACAATCATATTGACCAGTCCACTGAAGACAACTTTCCTTAGTTTGCTGATTTCATTTTCATGCGCCCGTAACTCCTGCAAGCTTTTGGGCATGTTTTCTGGCAGTTCCTTCAGGTTGTTTTTGGAAAGGTAAAGTCTCTCCAGTTTCTTGAGTGGAGCAAAAGCTCCAGGGCTGATCTTGCTGATTTTGTTATTAACAAGGATCAGTGCCTGTAAAGTAGGAAACAAGACAATAGAATTCAAATGTGGGTACTGCATTAATGATTCATACGGACATACCATCCAGAAAAGATGCATCCATTAGAGCAGTGCTGGCGAACCTATGGCATGTGGGGCACAGCGGGCAGGCAGAACCCTTTCTGTCGACTTGTGAGCCCAGGCGCCCCAGCATCACCCCAGAAGCCGAAAATAAGATAACAGCATACATAGGGGCCATGTGCACGCTCAGAAAGGAGTAGCGGCACCAGGCAATGATGTCACAAGCCATGACTCATTAGGCGCAACTTATCCAAGTTTTCGCATGGCGGTCAGTGCGCTGCCAAGGATATATAATGTATATATTTGCTTGGACTGGCTGTGAGTTGTTTTTTCTGAACTCAAACCTCAGCTTTCAGGTTTTATTGTCGTGTTGGCACTTTGCAATAAATAAGTGGGTAAATAAGAAATGTTGAGCTGTGCAGAAAAAGCTACTCAAGGAAGGCTTTTTCAAAATCACCCTCTTTTCAATGGACCTTCCGCCCTATATTAGGGTTAGGGGTGTGCACCAGGGTAGGGTTAGGGTTAGAAAAACGAGGTGTCCTGGCATGATTTTGATGGTTGGAATGTGTTTAGAATGGGAAGAAATGTTGAGCTGTGCAGAAAAACCTACTCAAGGAAGGTAGGTTTTAGGGGCTTTAATGTACTCTCCATGTATGGTCCTGGTTGAAATTTCCCTTCTCAGCCCTGCTGTTCACACTGGGTGGTAACTTCACGGAAGAGTCACAATATACTGAAAACAATATACAAAACATACTGAAAATATATGTATACACAATTTACATATCAGGCGTAAAATACCTGTAAAGGACCACCCTATTGACTCATTCTGTAGAACTCAAGGAGAACCACTGAAAACCGAGCAACTTTCTGTATAACCTGTAGATGCTCATGACTGGTTATATTTCTTGGTGTGGAATCTGAATGTGAAAATATCTTGAGAACAGCTGATAAACAGATTTGTATAGCATATGCAGGACTAATTGCTTTTTTGAAAATTCATGAAATAAAGCACTTTAGTTCTTTAGAAAGGCTCTGTACATTCCATCACCATTATAACTATTCAGCTTACAGACATTCATAATTATTACTTAGTGTGTCTCTACTGGGAAAGTTAGCGTGATCCATGAAAGATCAAAATGAGCTAAGATTGTTATGAATCAGACCTACACAGACTGACCCCTTGGAAATGCAAATTTCATGGACTTGTAGACTGCTTTTTAAACTTTTCTTTGAGGGGACAAAGGGGAACAGGCAATGAGGCAAAAGATGTCTGACAGTCCACAAGAGACAGAATGGATTCAGCAAAATCCAAGCATCCTTCGTCTCTGATGCTTCCCACCCAGAGGAGATTGCAAAGAAATTCATAGTGACCCAGAAAATTCTTGTCAAAGCCATTTAGAATAGTGGTGCTTTGGTACTAATGATACCAAGTGCACTTGGGCATAATTCCCTATTATTCAATGGCTTTATCTTATATAATCTTCAAACAGTCTCAGACTACACATTATTTTCAATGCATGATCACATTGATCATGCCTTGTTTCAAAATATACTTAAGAGGAGTTTCCTAACATCTGGACTCTAGCACACCTTTGTCCATATGCCACAATCTCTCTCTCTCACACACACACACAAACACACTGATTATCTGCTGTGTGAAAGAATCTGCCACCACCATCCTTTCATGCATCTACAGTCCTAATCCTGATTTGATCCCTTCTGCAGCTATTCAAGAACTCACACCAGACACATTAAACATATTTAATATAACTTGTAGCTTGGCTCTTAGTCTAGAGCAGAATCACATGGTCCATCTGCAGCAATGCCAGCTCCCTACAGGCAGTGTAGTAAAAGATCTGGTTCCTGAATGGCCCATCCTTTTCTAGCTGCTTTGTTCACAGCTGCATCTTCTCCATGATTCTCTGGTTTCCTTTCCCATCAGCCCAGGCATTCATGCATAGTTCCCAGCCAGGGCTATGTTGCAACAAGGACTCAGCTCAGGAAACAGAACCCTCACCGCACTCTCTCTTCTGTCTCTCCGTTCCACTTCTCCCCACACGTTCCCCTCAAGCTAGACAACTGTAACACAGCTGAGTGTCTCCTAAAATAAATACTCATGAAACAAGTCGAGAGCAAACCGTGTCATGATTATTCTGTTCTCCCTCTGTGGCTGAGGAAGGGAGTTTGGGGTGGCAGCCATTCATCCTGGATGAGGCAAAGAAGCCTTGCTGAGATGAGGAAAGCTAGAGTACAAGCAACCAGAGGGCTGGCACGTCCATTTTAGTCAGAGGGCGGCAGCCACCTCAGGCAGAAGAGTTGGGGTATCATGAAAAGGCTGAAAATTATTGGTTCGATACTTTGTTATTATTGCCTGTGGGATTTTCTGCTTCAAATGCCAAAATATTTTGACAGGATTTGCATACTATGATGGAATAGGGCTTGAACCTGCAACCTGGACCCAATCCTTATCTACCGGCAGCCACCATGTGAGCCCGCTGGGCTGTGTGGACTTGCCTCCTTTCTTCCCATCTACCTGTTTATTTATCAGACTCATTAAACATGAGATTAAATATATTCAATGTTTGAAAAGTTGTTTGAGATGTTGGGGAAGCAATGATTTTTTCAGATGTAAAGTACCTTTATTTATTATTTTAATCGCAGAAACACAGCTGTAGAGCATTTTTGCTCACTGCATGCATCATCTCACTTGCAGGGATGGAAAAACAGATGGCTCATCTCTCCGTGTTTTGATTTCTAGCCATTGTAAATCCTTTCATAATTAAACTTATGCCAGCTATCTCTAAAACTATTTTTTATTCCTGCAACTGAACATTTATGGAGATCAGAAAATATATAAACAGCTGCAGGGAGGGAAAGTATGGAGAGGAAGCATGAAGAAAAAGGAGAAAGGAGAAACTATCATTCTGAACAGCTTACGTGTTGTGTATTTTCTCCCCAGTGTATTTGATTTCCTGTTCATCATCGGTAAAACAGGAGGTATGGTTTGCAGATGGCTCCACTGTGTATATGATAGATGCGTATGGTTTCAGTTTTGTATATGAGCCAGCAGTGGCCAGATTTTTGAGAGGTCATTTGCAGTTCAGCAGTACTAGCAAGAAGTCTCTCCCGAAACATTTTATGTTTATTTAGAAGCAGTGGGCATTCTGTTCATTCTTCAGACTCAGAGCTATGAGAACTGCCACTAACAGATGCATGCGAATTCCAGTTTCTGGATGTTACTGACATTGCCCTAATATCTTTGAAAGCTTAAGGCAAACAAAGGCCTCCAGAAAGCAATCTCACCTGCACCCTCCCTATTTCCTTCCACACTAACCTTGCCTTGCATGCTTAGTTGACAGGTTGACAAGTCACTCATCCATAGAACCAAACGACAGCCCCACTCTGCTGCTGTCCATAGAACTAGAAGCAACAGCGGCACCCACAGTAGTGATTAGATGAGGGAGCGATGCTACCTTTCCCCCTTCTATTATCCTCTACTTCCAGTTTAGGTGAAAAGCATGAAACAGAAGGCGCTACAAAAAGACTCATGCCAACAAGATGACATGTGCAAAGCAAAGGTTGAAGATTCTGGCAACCATACAAGGAAATCCCATCTCTAGAAGCCACCTAGAAGCAGTAGGAAACATGTGATTATGGGCTAGGCATGAGTGCTAGTAGACAAGCCATTGTGAAGATATCGTATCTTCTCTTCCTAAGCAGATATTCTGTGATAATAAGACAATGTTTTGAGAAGACACAGGGGAGATTGTGAGTAGAAAATAATGCATCTAGTTCCCCCCCATCAAAACTTCATGAATGAGGCAGCATGGTAATGAAATGCAAGCCTTCTCTGGAAGCACTAGCATATATTTCCTTCTGTGCTTCCTTTTCAGCCTAAGGGATATAGGTTGTGCTGCAGTAGTGGTGGAGAACCTCTTTCAGTCCAAGGACCAATATCATTTTCACTTAAGGTCTTAGAAGCCACATTCCAGTGGTGAGTAGAGCTGAAGGCAAAGAGGTATGTCAACAACACCAGTAGATTAAAGCCATGGCTGCTAATAACTAAGAGGCATGTTATCCTTTCAGAATGGCATGGCAAAACTGCATAGAAATTGCCAAATGAACAGTGGTCAGGAGAAGGGTAAGGCCTCAGGAAAGGGATGGACTTGGCCCTTGGGCTTTTGATTCCATACCCCTTGCTAAAGAATGCAGGGACAGTTAACATAATATGTAGTTCTCTATGTATGAGTTGGGAAAAGATTTCCAATTTTTTTCCAACACTCTGCAATACCCAATAAAAATATTCTTCATATACTTTGCATTAACAGTACAATCCTTGTGGAATTGTCTGAGCCATCTTGGGTATTTTCGCTCATGGAGCTTGTGCCAAATATGTTCAAACCTTCCTTCCTTCCTTCCTTCCTTCCTTCCTTCCTTCCTTCCTTCCTTCCTAATTTTGCTCCTTCTCAAGAAGTAACGCATCTCTAATGCACAGTGTTTTTGCTTTGCTTTGCTTTTAAAAACAATATTCCCATAGGTCCTCTCCATCAAGTTATGCTGTTGCAAGCAGTGGCCTTTCTGTCTTAATGTTTAATCCCTGACAGGTGCCAGAATTTTATGACTCCTTAAGGACTTTACTACTAAGGCCAGTGCAATATTTCAATAAGTCTCTTGTGCTTAGTTTCTTTGTTAGCTGCTCAGATACAATGCAAAGCAACCACCCAAGTCCCTGCCCTTATCTTACAATATTTATCTCTGATACTGGCATGCATACAGACTCATGGAGCCTAATTCAACACATTAAGGATATGCAAGGAATCAGATCCAGAGATTGTGAAAATCTGATGGATTTTCCTGATATGGCCCCCTGGACTCCGGTTTGCCAGCCCTGCGCTGGAGCTGACTCACTATGTTGAGAGCTGAATCAGCTCATAGATTTTTTTTTCTCTAAGGCAGGCCACAGTTAGTGCCTTAAAAGCAAGCTAACTAACAAACAAAGCACTAGAGAATTCAAGTTGCCCTATTTTGTGCTATTTACATAATTTGGTACACATTGCATAAATCTTGGTAATATGCATGTTTTACACAAACTGGTATCCAAAAAGTACACAGACCTAGGGCAAGTGGTGCAAATCATGCTAGAGCCATGTGCTTTTGGGTTTTGATTTGTGTAGAACATGAAAAATACCACGATGCAGTTAATTGACAGATAACTGAGCTAGGTTGCGATATACTCAGCAATTTGCCTGTTGTTTCATATTACTGTCATGGTTAGGTCCTAAGTATAAACCAGCAGGACTCTGGATGCTTCCAGAAAGAATGATGTTAGTTCTACCAATCAAAATGATTGCGCATCCCATCTTTCCTTCTTAATGAGTTCTTGTTCTTTCTTTTTTCTTTTGATAGAAAGGAAAAAAAATGGAAGAATTGATGGAAAGATATGGGAGAAATTCAAGTAAAAAACAATGTTGTGTGGATCTCCCATAAAATTTTGTGAATGAGGCAGAGCATTGGTGCAATGAAAGTATAGTCTAGAAGTTCTAACGATTCAGTATATAAAGGGATAACTCAGTAGCATATACCATCTTAATCTGCAGTAACAGTATAGCTATGAAGATGACAACTTGAACTGGATCAGGGTGGAAGTAGAGAGATCATTATGGAATTTCACAAAGCCATTCCCTGCCTTTTGAATTAAGCTACACAACACATGAAGCTGCATGAATGAAAAAAAGGAGTCCTGCTGGGTCAGGCCAAGGGACCATGTGATCAAACATCCTCTTCCCCACAGTTGCCAGACAGATGATTTTGGAAAGCCCTCAAGCAAAACATGAAGGCAATAGCTGTTGTTCTGCAGCAACTGTTATTCAGAGGTATAGCACATAATTAATGTATTATACAGTATTAGGTATCCTGTAGGCATCTGATTTACTGATTCTGTTCTTAACTTATTGTTGATACATGCCTTGAGCTTTTTAAAGAAATAGTAAGAGCTAAGCAGATAGTTTAAAAAATGAAGCTCTTATTGCAGCATCTGCTACTCTTAATGCTACCATCACAGCTCCCACTTTTTGCACAGAATGCATCTTTTCTGCATGAAATGCCTGAGCTCTCCACAATCATCACTATGAAATGGCCATCTGTACACTGTATCGTGCTGAGATTATGTCCTGCAAAGGATGGGTGATACTCAGAACATCAGTCATTTTCTGAAAACAGATTTTTGTGTGGAAGGTCTGAGAAGAATTTCTCCAGTGGGACACTTTTGAGAAGGCTTCTCCCAAGAAGGGATGACCTTGGACAGCAGCACAATTCCAAGAAACATTAAAAAACCTTTGACTTGGCTTCCACCACCTAGAAAACAAACTCTGGGAGAGCCTGACCAGGAAAAGAAACGTGGAATACAGTTATAAATAGCAAAGAGGAAAATGGTGTCATTGCTTTTGTATGACACAATTCAATGTTACTATTTATTTTTGATATTTGAATTATACACATACATATATATTGTGTTGTGTCTGTATGACTGCGTTCTTGCTGTTGTTCAAGTGTAAAAGTGGGAACCATTGCTCCTTTAAGCACTCATACATGCCTATTTGGTGCCTGGATTTCTTGGTATGGGCTAAAGAGAATAGATGTTGGAAGAGAAGAAAGTATTCCTAGATATTTGAAGCTGGTCCCAGCCCTTGCAGCTGCCTAGCAAAAAAGTTATATAAACCCTGGATTTTGATATTTTCCCCATTGTCCACACACATATGCAGGCACGCTGCTTTTGCACCACTCACGGTTCATCGGGTTCACTGGTGTAGCAACAGAGAAGGTTGTTGCCAGGCAAGCATGACTTGGTCCTGCTGTCATTGGTGGTTTGGTGTTGGGCTGATTTCACTGGGCTAACATTGGGCTGATTTCTTCAGAGGTCTATTTGGGGCAGTGGGTGCCCTAAAAGCTGTGTGCAGGATGTGGCCTTCACTATGCATACTGGGCCTTACATGACACTTCTAATCCTCACAGGATGCTATTTCTTCTGCACAGAATGTGCAAGGCACAGATGCCATGTGTGCACTTGAACATAGCATGTACCTTCAGATTGCAACCATGTATGCTTAGGATAAATTCTTCACTATATGTCTATGAAGACTAGTCTGGGTGGGATAAACCTTCCAGAAGTCCAAGCTTGATGTCACCCCCTCCTGCAGGAGCAGAGAACAAGATCTGATCTATGCTGAAACAGTCAGCAGCTTGCCACAAATCTATGGGTAATGTTCCGGATCAGAAATTACACTGGCACATGGTGGTCTGTGCAGTCATGTGAATTCGATCATTCCTCCACCTTTTCTGTTCCTAGATAGAAAGACTTCATTAGCTCATGCTATCTTCATTTAGTTTCAATCCTTACATTTCAAATCCCCTACACACGGATATCTGTGGTATTCCTATTGAAATGGGGTACTTTTCTACAAATGCATAGAATAACAAATGCTTAAAGGGTGAAAAGCAGGAGGTCTAAGTATACTGCCTTAGGTTCCTTGCAAGAAAACAGAAAGGATATAATTTTAATTAATTAATTAAGCACCACAGATGGCTGTATTTTTCCACGCTACTAGCATGTTTCCTTCAGGGGAGATAACGTAGTTCAATAATGGTATAAAAATAGCCCTTATAGTGGTATCACTATGAGTTACAACTGCTGTGAGAAACACCAGTGTTATCCACAGCAAACTTATTAAATATGGAAGTTAAAGTATATACATAGACAGGGCATGAGACATATACACATGCCTGGAGAACATAAGCCAGATTGAGTTCCCAAGTGCATATTCCAAGATGTATTCTTTGCACAGAAATTCATGGTAATAAACACCAATATAATACTAAGCAATTGTGTGTGTATGTGTGCAAGAGAGAGAGAGAGATTTATATTCCACTATTTTTCTCACAGAAAACTCAAAGCAGCTTACACCATTCTCCCCTCCTGCCCTTAATCTTGTGCCCCCATAACAATCCAGTGAGGTAGGTTGAGCTGAGTGTCTGTGGATGGCCCAAAGACGGCTCCATGGCCAAGTGGGGAGTAGAATCCAGGTTGCCTGAGTCCCAGGCCCACCCTCTTAACCTCTACACCACACTGGCTCTGGGTAGCACTGATTTATTAAAGAGCTAGCTCAGGAATTTGAGAAATGCTAAGTTTCTTCTCTATTGATACCACTTTTCAGCAATCAAAATTGATGTTTTGACTTTCTGCTCCATTCCAATAACCAGCATCTACCCATCAAAGTACCTTTAAAGCATTCCTAAAGCAGTATCAATTTTCTTGATTTCACAGGCATCATGAGCAAGTGGTGGCACTTCTGTCTTTAAAACAATCCCCTGCAGATTTTGAAATGCTAATTAGAAACAGATTTTCCACTGAGCAGAAAATAGCACCTCAAGTGGGAACTATTCCCTTTCAGAATTAGAACAGGAAAGGTATGAAGATATAGTTTTACCATAATGATCAACAATGCCATAAGCAACAAACATTTGAAAATGTGAGGAATCTATTAAAGGTAATCACAGCATCTAGTGCAATCAATCAAATACATTGTTTGCAAGTGTGTGGCCAAATAGCCCTCAAGAGTCAAGAGCATGTGTGTATGAGTACTAAAACAGCATTTGAACTATGGATTAGCATTTTTCACTACAAGAGCACTTTTCTCTCTGACTTCCTCATCATTGTCCTAAAAGAAAAGAAATTTATATGCTCAAATGTTCTAGTGATAACAACCCTAAATTGGTGTTAGGGAACATACATGAAACTAGAATGGAATCAGAAAATATCTTCTCACAAATGAGTTTCTTAACCTCATCTTTCTGGTAACATTGGTTACAAAGACCACAGTTGTTAGTTTTGGCAAACAGACAGAGATGTAAGTCAAAATTCCAAAGTAAGGTACTCAATGAATAGTTCAAAATAGTCACTAAGAGGATTTGTCTAGATCCCTGCTTCCTCCCTCCTCCCTTTGTCCAATGCCTTTCTGCCTCCCTCAAAACAAACCCTGCTACCAGAACCCCACAAAAATGTCTTTCCCTTCCTTTCTCTAACAAGCCTATCTCCCTCCATAATATACTAGGGATGTATCTTCAGTTAAATGGAACAATGAAGAAAAAGGAGTGGGAAAGCTCTATTTCCAGCCATGATTAACATGCAATAACTTACATGTAGATTCTTCAAATTTTTGAAATCTCCATCCTTTATTTCAGTTAGTTTATTGTTCTGTAAGTCCAGTAGAGTAGTATCTGGGGGAAGATCCTTTGGAACTTTTTCCAAACCTGAAATGTGAAATAAACCCATAAAATGATTAAAAGAAGGTTGAGAATTATCCATGTTTTTAATTCAGCAACACAGCAACTATTTTCTAGGCTCTGTTGCCTAAAATTTACAAAAACTTATATGAACTGCCAATTCTGTTAATAAGAGCTTAGAGATAATTGACAGAGCCTGATTTTCTCTTGGATCCATTCAGGCAGAGAAGGAAAATCACACCATCCAGTGTAGATATATGGATGTTGACTTGCTACCTATTCTTCCGCAATATCCTTATACTCCAATATACAATCTGGATCTTGTAATCAACTTTGTCTTTGCAACGTTGCTCATCAATGAGATCTACAACTCATAAAGGAATCTTATTGTAGCTGGAATGGTAATCATTATTATATTGTATAAGCATTAAAGAACCTTCCCCACTCACAATTTTCTTTACTCCATTGATGGGATCAATCACATGCCAATTCGCTTTCTATTCTCCACCTATTCAAACAAGTGGCTCTTTTAGAGAATGACAGTCAGGTTTTGAGTGCACTGATTCCTAATCTAAGTCTTGCACATTCTAATTATGGCCAGTTAGACCGTAAACTGTAATTCTGAATGACAGTCAGGGGCCCATTCTTGGAAACTTTCCAAATAGCATACTTTGCTGACTTCAGCAAATAAGAAGCACTTGAAGAAGGCCATATTTGGATTCAGTTTCTTGTCATACATCTGAAGGGAGTAAATTGTATATAATCAGTGTAGTCAGACCAAAAACATGCCTCATTTGATTTGCATCCTTCTACTAAAGTAAACAGCTAAATTATCACTGATTGCAATGAGTAAAACATCAGGGTATAATTAAAGAAAATACATAGCGTAATTTTAAAATTTAGGCTTTTTTGCATACCAGGGTGCTCACATTTTTCCCTGATCAAACTGTTCAAGATTTATGAAAACTGAGAACATTTCTAAATGAGACTGCTTAATCAAATTCCATCTTCATTTCTGTTTGAAACTAAAACTATATTCAGGGTGATTTTTTCAAAGATAGTTTCTGCTTCACTGCAAATGCCTGAAGTGCATCGGACAGCTTTATTAAAAACATGTGTGAGATCATTTTCAGAAGTGTATCTCAGTCAGATGAAGCAAAAGAATTTATATTACTATATATTAAAAATACCAGGTAGCTTCACCTATATTACATTTACCCACATTTACCCAAAATACCGTACATATCTTTCTCGCATACCCTAAGTCATGTTCTAGTTCCATTAAAAGTGCCATTGCCAGGTACAGCTCAATCTTATTAATGTCTACTCAGAAATGAGCTTTATGGAGTTGAAAGGAAAAGACATATGGGATTGTAGCCCAAGTTATTATTGTTTCTCTCCTTTTCAAAGTGCACTTGAAGCCTTTCTTTGAGTTTGTATAAAAATATTGGGTGGTTGGTTTCAGTGGCACTAAAGCCTGATTCACTTACTCTGGATCTGATCCTACCTATACTCATTCTCTACTGTGATTGATCCTGTTTCTTAACAGAGGCAAAATTCTGGCTATACATTTACTAGAGAAAGAGTGTTCAGCTACAGTTTTGTTTCTTGCTTCTACTTGAAACAAATATTATTCTTGTTGTATGTTTTGAGTATTATATAAGAGGTGTTCACTTGGGATCCGCAATACTCTAGTATGACCAAGAAACAGGGCCTGGGTCAGGCCATGAAAAAGGCACCACCCAACAGAATAATAAGCATGTCACGAATCTTCAAGAATAGAATCAGCATTCTAAAAGCAGTCTTGAATCTTGAAGGTGATGTTTATTTAATACTACTGCCTATCCTAAGAGTTTGCTAATATTTTTACATGCATTATATTTTAGCAGATCTATATTCCTTCCATCATGGAACTCAAGGTGGTGTACCTGGAGTTTCTAGGTGGTCTCCCATTTAGTCATTGTTCAGACGGAAACTTGCTTAACTTCAGGAAGGTAAGTCCTTGAACACATGCACTGCAAATAGGATGTGCAGCAATGGGCACTGACTAGTTTCAAAATAGTTTAACTGCATCTAATAACTAAAAAGAAGTTATAAGTGCTTATTAAATAGAAACTGAGAAAAGTAATTTGAATTCTATGGAGTTTCAACTACTTTTGAATAACTACTGCCATTCATTCTCAAGATTGAAAATTAATGCATTTGATTGCGATAGTAAGGCTCTTGGTCTGCAACCTTGTCCCGCAACACCAACCATTAATGGTCATTCATGCCAGCCCTCAAGCAGAAATAGATCCTGTTTCCTTCTCCCTTACATTTACTTTCATGGCACGATCCTGGCAGAGCATAGTGGATGTCATTGACTTGGATATCAGAACCTTCTGAATCAGTAGGTAGCATTACCCAGCTCATGTCCATAATAATACAAAATAAACCAATAAAAATGTAGCCACTGACAAAATGACTTTCTCTGTTTCCCTTGGGAATGAGCCACAATTAAGACTCTTGTCCCAGTATATAGGTATAAGTAATTAAAGCTGCTCCTTAAATAGCAAACTCCATGTCGACCTTCATGCTCCTTTTATACAACTACTGTTTTCCTGAGACGAGGTGAACAGTTAGAGTATTCTGTCTACCGCCATGACTGATAACCATTTTCACACTTTCTCATACTGAAAAGGTATGGATTAAAAGGTAAGGATTAAAAGTTATCTTCTGCTCATTTTTTATCAGGATTTGACCAGTTTGTACATCCCAAACCAAGACCAGACCAGTATACAATCTGTGTTTGAAATCTGTATTTTCAGTGTTTGACAGGTGTACAGCAAGTGTACAGCATATGTACAGAAAAACATGCATACTTTTGAAAAGAAATTCACAAACATGGGCAAAATACATATATTTAATGTGTGAACAATTGACGCCTATATTTGAAAAAATAAGCATAAAATATGTATGCAAAAGGAAAAATGCAAAGCTGGCCTGTCATGGACATGAGATAGCATAAGCTTCAGGTGGAATTTGGAGGACTTTAGTGAGCTCTGGCGAACTGGCAGCATTGTAAGAATGACATTCTCATGGTTTCATCCTTCCCCTTCCCCAAAGCATAGGAAGATGAACCTATCAGTCACTTAGATTTCACTAACTTCCTTCTTGCACAACATTCAGAGCAACTAATGCAAAAGATGCTATTTGCAGACAAAGTCTGATGCCTCCCAGAAGAGAAGGGGCTATGGAAGCTTTATCCTGGGGCAGCTTCCATTCAGTTGGACTAAACAGTCCAGTTCATCTTAGGCTTTGGACTTCATCTGAATCCAAGGCACATCTTAGCATATGGAATTCAAGTGAAGAAGGGTGATTCAATTACATTAAAACCATAAGGAACAATACTTCACACTTCTTTAAATCCAAATTTTAAATCACCTGATTTCCCTATGCAATACTTAATTTTTGTTCAATCTCCTGAACTAATTTAATGTTGAAATGTATTCCTATTATATTTCCAGGTATGCCCAAGAGCGAACTACTCACATTTTCCTTTCCTCTCTTTGTATATAGATTTACGACAATATTACCATCCACCACACTGACTATGAAAAAACTTTGGCCCCAATTTTTGATTCTTCCTTCTCCTTAAGTCCCCAAATTAAGTGTGCTGCCACATCACTGAACAGCGTCACTCTGCACAATATTGCAAAACTCAAGCCCTAGGTAAAAGGTAATGCTCTGTTCTTATCCTGCCTTGGATACTGTTGCACTTTTCTTCTGTCTGAGTTTCCATTCCAAAATGCCACCCTTGCCTACAAAACTATTCATCTCTCCTGCCACAATAGCATGTGACTTCCTCCTTCACTGGCCTTTTGTCTGCTCAGAAATTCATCATATTTGTTTCAAAGCCCAACTCCTTTGGATTCCAAGGCTGAAAAAGTTGACTCTGACTTTAGCATGGTATTAAACAGTTCGTAATGCAGGAGCAGCTGGAACTGCCTAACGTATCTAAACCCATACTTTTTTATTTCTCTATTGTACTTGGGTTTAAGATAAAGCTCCTTGCCACTAAAGTTTGTTTAAGAATCGCATTTCTTATATAAATGGTTGCAAACACAACCTGAACAAACTTGCATGTTTCCTTACCCTCTGAATGTTTAACAAATTAAAACACATGGAACAGATCCAGCAACAGGAAGTTTTAATGACAGTGATTGATTTTCTGGAAGATTATTCTATTCGTTGCTAACTCCTGACTCCATCTGAGTTGTTAGATCTTTTAATGTGCATTGTCTTTTCTATCTTTTGCAGAATATAGTCTGAAATAGCTTTATCAAATGGCTGGGAAGTTCTGCACACTGACTTTTGACTTCAAATGAGGAGACATCTCCAAAATGAGAAGACTGGTAAAGGAAGTTGCAAGGAAAAGCACTTTGGCATCAGTGCTTTTTAATTTGATGCCATCAGCAAAGTTGGGCACCTCACTTTTCTTACATAACTTAAGAACATGTTTAAAAGCGCTGGTTCTAATATAGATCCTTAAGGCAATCCATTGTCTACGTCTCTCCACTGCAGGAATTGTCCATTTATTTGCTTCCTGCTCTTCAAACAATTACCAATCCACAGCAGGGCTTCTCCTCTTTTTCTATGAAATATAGTGGTTAATTATAAATAAGTGTAAAGTGTAACAAATTCAGGGGCAGATAATCCTGAATTCACATAGAGAGTGATGGGAACTTAGCTGGCTGAGACTGATCAGGAAAATGAGCTGGTGGGCAGCATGGTGAAGGCATCAAGTGTGCAGATGGTGTACAAAAAGGTGCATTCCATGTTGGGAATAAATAGGAAAGGATCTGAAAATAAAACTGCCAATATCAAAATGTGTTTACACAATCAGTGTTGCAACCACACTTGGAATATCGTGTATATTTCTGGTCACTGCACCTCAAAAAAATTATTATAGAACTGGAAAGGACAGAATGGTCTGTGGACTGGGGCAACATCTATGTAAGGAGTGTTTTTACTCCTTGCCTCATAAT